GAGATACGTTCATTGATGATGGGACCGATGAAGGTATATCTCACGAAGTGACGAATCGGATTTTCTCCTGATTTTCTCACAGGAATGATACAATACTGCCGTAAACAGCACATGGAGTGAAAATATACCACTCAAAGAAGCTTTGATCCAAACCGCAGAGATTTCAGTCTTCCCGTTTCGACGCCAGAGCAAAAAGAAAAGTGCCCAAAACTTTAAACCTCTCTCCTGCAAAACACTACTTTTGCAGATACGACACTTCGTGAGATGACCGACGTTTTGATTCAATCAAATGTCAACTAAAATCGTTTTTGTTTTTTAATTAATAAGATGAATATTTGGAGTAGTTTTGTTTCAGTCAAAACACGTTTTATTTCAGTCAAAACACGTTTTATGTTACTGTTTCTTAGGAGACTGCTAAGAGTATCGTGGAAGGAAAAGAAATCAAATGAGGTAGTGCTTGATGAAGCCCACGTGGGATACTCAATGTTAAAAACAATCAGGAAACGACAAATGCAGTTTTTGGGACACCTGAATAAACATAAGGGTCTTGAACATGTAGCCCTCACAGGCAAAATTGAGGGCAAGCGAGGCAGGGGTAGGCCCAGAACTACATACTTAGGGAACCTAAACAAATGGGTAAAAGGGAAAGATCAGGGAAACGTAGCTTTTTTGAGAGCATCCGAGCAAAGGAATGAATGGAAAACCATGATTGCACCCCTACTACCTTGTTGGTGCATACGGGAGTATTAAAGGTTAAGGGAGTAAACCCTAAACAAATCCGGAGGGAGGGCCCCAAAGGCAGTCGACAGGGAGGAACGATCCGAACTATCTTCTGGCAGCCCCTGCAATTTTACTGGTTCCAAATGTATTGACCTCGTCTCTCCTTTGGACTAAATCAGCTAAGTCGAGAGGGGGCTCGTGCAAATTGGGCAAGGCATGTTTTTCATATATTCAGGCCCAGGCATTTAGCTTAGTCATAGCCATGAAAGAAGCTGCATGAAGAAAACCTTGAGACCATCTTAAGCTAAATTGACCGTCTGCATAGATGAAAAGAGCCATATATATATATATTTATATATATATATATATATATACGTGTATTGTCCCCGCCTACAGGACGGCTGTGTTCTATGCCGCCAGCCTCATCGTGTTCCTAGGTTCTGTGTTCTCTGTGGCCTCTAGTTGTATGGACTCACCCGTCAACGCAACACAGGTGAGTACGGAGCAAGTATGCGCGCGCGCACTCACGCACACTCACAAACTTACCTACATACTCACGTACATGTACTTTCATACATGTGCATATATACACGCATGCACGCAAACACACACACTTTCATAATAATTACATACTCAAGTACATATACACTATACACACATACATGTACATATATACACGCATGCACGCAAACTCACGCACACTCACACACACAAACAAACAAACAAACACACATACACACTTCCATGAGCGCGCGGGACACATTCAACATTTTCAGTTGGTAGGAAATTTTGAATTTTGCCCTGGTGGCGGCCAAAGCCTACTTTTTTAAATTTTGGACCACCAGGGAATTTTTAGCGTGCGCAAATTGCACTCGGCACCTCCAAGATTTTCGGCACTTATCCGAGAAATCTATGTGTTAGATCTTACCTATCATAGGATCAGGGGTGGGGCGAAAAGACAGCAGTAAGAAGGAGCCCCAGGAATAGCGGTAGAAAGGCTGTAGAAAGAGCCAGAAGCCCAGATGAGGGGGCAAAGGTGGTGAGGGGGTGAGGGGCAGAAAGTGGAGAGGAAAGCAGACGACAGAATATTGTTAAATAGCAGGAAAGGAGGTGAAAAGAGAACGTTTTAGAGAGAGAAAATGTTCTGTTGCAGTCCGGATTTGAATCCGGGACCTATTGAATTAGAGGCGAACACTTTAACCTCTTGACAACGAGAGCCCCCTTGTGATTGATGCTTTGATGATGTTGATGATGATGATGGTATTCTTGTACATAATAACAATGAAAATAATATTGATGAAAATAATAATATTACTATGCCCTTTGTTATCTCTCCACCTGAGTAACATGACAGAGTACTGCTGCTACCGTTGTTTTTGTTGTTGTTGTTGTGTTGTTGTTGTTGTTGTTGTTGTTGTTGTTGATGTTTTTGTTTTTGTTTTTTATGTTGTTATTGCTTATGTTGATGATGATGTAAAGGCTGCAGCTGTTATTGTTGTTGTTGTTGGTGTGTGTGTGTGTGTGGTAGCCTATCCGTTCGAAATGTTCGGAGCCCCGAAGAGTGTGCTCTTCGCCAGGGCCACCGCCTCCCTTGGGTAGCTGTTGTTGTTGTTGTTGTTCTTGTCATTTCTTTTTTTTTAATGATGATGTTGTTGTAGTTGTTGCTTCTGCTGTTGCTATTGTTGCAGATACGTTTGTTGATTATGACAGTACTAATGCTAATCATGATAATGATAACGTTTCTCTCTTCTCTCCCCTCCTCCCCCTTACCCTCCATCCCCCTCCCC